CCCCAAAACCCCAAAACCCCTTCAAGTATAAAATTGGAAATTTTGAAATAATTATCTTTATTAAAATAATGAATCAAGGATCAAGATATCAATCAAGAAGTATAAGAAAGGGGCCAAATTCAATTCAAAAGAATCAAAAGAACATTCAACAAAAAAGTATATCTCAATAGGCCAATAAACCATAACAAAGCATTCCTAGTAACACTTAAATTATTATGACTGTAGAAGAGTGCAATAAAATATTCAAAGTATGGGCTTAAAATTACTTTAATGATCTCAATAGCTGGGCTTAGATAGCAAAAGCGACAATTAGTTTTGAAATGTCTCAGATAAATTCAGGCACTAAGGACTCCAAGCAAAAGGCATAAGCAATGATGAAATTTGAAAAGGATGCTCATGAACCTATATTTGCTCAATCAGTAGAAATAAGCAATAAGCAAGCAAAATAGGTCTGCTATGAGAAAATAACAAAAGAACTTATAAGTAGAGGTGATCTTGGGATCGGGTTTAAAAATAAGGAAAGCCTTGACTAGCAACTCAAAAAATATGATAAACTGATAGAATAATCAAGCAATTTAAATGGTTAAGTTAAGATTAGAGAAGTTAATATAGCATAGCCGAAATAAACAGTCATTTTAAACCATATCAATAGCGATCAAATTGACAAAGCCTTAGAGTTACTTTGCGAGTTTATAAAAGAAATTACTAATCCAGAATTATATAAACTCAGCTGGTAAAAATTAGGCTTAATATGGTTAACAATTCTATAAAAATAAGACTTAAAGCTAGCACAGCAATTCATAGAAATATTAAGATGCGAGGGAAACCTACTTAAAACGATAGCAGCTGACACGATGTTCATTAAAACAAATATTACTCTACAATTTCTTGACAAACTCTACAGTAGTATGATTTTTGTTGCTAACAATGATTACTTTTTCAGTCAAATTTAGTAATTAATCAGCAATAGCTTTAGTGTATTTGAAAAAGACTTTCTTAATTGATTCGCTGCTCTTTACTATGAAAACTAAAGAAGCCAAATAAACATAGACTTCCAATAATAGCTTTAATATCGTTTGAAGAGCTTTAATATGGAATATAAAACAGTGAAGCTCAAATGAATTGGTTTCTAAGATTGCTATGATGTGTTTCAATTGTCAAAAGCATAACCCGAAGACTAGATTGAATAATAGTAAAAAGAAGAGTCAAAATAAATGTTTGTATACATCACTGTTGTTGCGAGCTTTGAATAGTACTAATGCTTGGGACTTCTTTATTATGATTGAAAAAAGAAATCTGAATGTATTTTAACCCTACCTATTATCTCGAAATTCTGTGATGATAATAATATTCAGATAACTCACTTAAAGCAAACCAGATCCTATGATGCAATACTGGAATCAATAAAAAACTTTTCCTAAAAAGTTCTAATGGACAGTAGACTCCAATAAATGTTAATGGTTCCTCTAGGATTAGAAAATAAATAACAAATGAATGAGTTTGGATAATCAAAAGTTAATCTTGATCCCCAAAACATCTTATACCTTAAAGATTTCACTATAAATGAAATTTAAAAATAAGCTTTGTAAAGTGCTTTAACTAGCATGTTATCAATTATTGTTGGTCCTCTATAAACTGGCAAAAAAACTATGGCTTAAACAATCATATTAAACTGGATCCAGATGCAAACTTCAAGTATTCTAGTAATTAACAATAGTAAAGAGTACCTGGTTTAGTTTTAAAAGTTATTGGAAAGTTAAAATATTAGCAATATAATAATAGATCTGCAGTAATATACAAAACTCAACTATTCAAGCTAAAAAAGAAATGTTCTAATATATAAAGTGATCTTATCATCAACTGTTGGTACCTAGAATGATTTAATAAGAGATATCAATTTTGAAAGAGTACTAATAATGAATTCTTAGTGCCTTCCAGAGTATCACTCAATGCTTCCACTAATCAAAGGTTGCAAATAATTAGTGTTAATTGGAGATTTTTAAATGCTTACAATTCCTAAGTAACCTTCCTAGATTATAAGCGGTTTATCTCTAATCAACAAGCTAGTATCATAAGGAGTATAGCCTTTTTATCTCACATAATGCTATATTTCAGAGTAGAGATATAACTATTTATCCAAAATTTTCCCCTCATACAATGATGCATTGACTAATATCCCCTAAAAAGAACTTGCTTAAGTAAAAATTAGTTCGATATCATAGCTTGAGGATAATATAAAGCAGATGCTGATTATTAATGAAAGTAAAGCTGCTATTAAAATAGCTATTTGCTTCTAAAGCTTAAATAGATTTGTGGACCTAAATATTTTTAATTTTCAAACTGTGATTTATGGGCACCTTAACAAATTTATAGGCTAAACTTATGATATGATGATTTTTAATATAGACGAATATGTAAGGAACTGATGCCTGTTTTAATTATTTTTAGATTTCGTATAACTATGAACTAGATCTCATCACTATTTATTTAGTACTTTCATCTTTTAAGTATGGACTGATTATTGCATCTGAAGATCTGTAGCAAGCAAAGTTAAAAAGCATAGCCTGGGCCTAATTCATAAATATCGTAGAGGAAATTAATGCTTGATAGCTGATAAAAAATAACTAATTATGTATTTTAATTTAATAATTATTTATTCTAAAATTTTTTTCCATTCTATGAATTTCGGGGTTTTGGGGTTTTGGGGTTTTGGGG